AGTATATACCACAGTGACAAACACCTGACCAAATTCCCTAGGTAGATAGTAAGGTTCACTAGGCTGAGGCTAGGACATGCAGGACTGAACAGCAACCTACATATAATAGGGAAGCATGAGACAGGAATGTGCCCATATTGTGAGGAAACAACCGTGAAGCATGTACTTTTGACATGTAGGCATGAAGAGAGAGAAAAGATTAAGAGGGTAACAAAGTCTGTTAATTTAAGCAACCTGTTGAAACTACCAGGAACACAGTCTACAATAAAAGCAGTGAACAGTGATAAAATTTCTTTAAAAAAAAAAACACACACAGTTAGCAAGAAGAATTTAGTCTTATTGTTTATTTTAGTTTTTATTTTATTTTCTATGGAGGTTGAGTTGAGGTTGAAGCTGGAGGAGCTAAACACGCAGCGCCAGCTGAAGCTTTTTTCTCTCCCAATGTCATCACACCCATTCCAGTAGATGGCGGCAATGCACATAGCTTGCAAACTGCCAATAAAAATCACAGAAGAAGAAGAAGAAGAAGAAGTAGAAGTGAAAGCAAATGATCAGCGTGTTTTGCCATTTAAACCGTCAGAATCGATTGTATACTGATTATCAAATGCGAAGCATGGAAACCTTCATAAAAGCTAAGACACGAATTTACGTGTAACTACTTGATAAACGGCGGTGGATTTTCGTGAATCTGAATGTGATGAACGTTGATCAAGGTGAGTGTTCAGGTCTCGAGACGTTTACAGGTGACTTCCGCATTTAGGCCAATATTTTCCCTAAAGGGCATATTAGTTATTTTATGTGTTTGATATTTTTCATTTAAGAGCTAAACACGCTTTCATTGTGTCGTGTTGTCTGTGGTTTATTTAGCATTTGTGTTAATATACGACTAACAGTGTGTATTTGAGTGAACGCCGCGTCTCATGATCCTGTTTCTCTGAATCTCAGGATCCGTTCTGCTGAATTATTGTGAATTATTGTGTTTGTTTGTCATTTCCATTCAGAGTCAGTGGTGAAGATCAGATTCTGTTTCAACTGTTCAGCTTCATCATGGATGAGACTCAAACATCCAGAGATGGAGATTTTTATCCAGGATGCAGGTATTTTGAATAAATTACAGATAAATCATCTTTAAATTATAGAAAAGAAGATGTTTTAATTAAGTTAAAAACTTGTTTTATTGAAAAAAAAATTAGACCAGCCAGTCTTTCTATTATTATACCCTTTAAGAACTTATATTAAAATATTATCACCGGTAATTTTTTTTCTGTTATAGTTCAGTTCATCAGAAGAGATCAGAACCAGAGTCCAGCTGTGTGTCTATGAGGAGTGATGAGTCTATGGATAAAAAAATACTTTTTAAGAGTGAAGATACACAGACTGATCTCAGGTATTACATTTCTATACAAATATGATTATAGTATGATATTTTATATTATTAGAACATTATCAGTAATATATAATACAAGATATAAACAATGTACAAGAATAATGTTTTAATGTAATATTTTAATGCATACAGTATAGTGTTGCTCACACAGAGACACATCTGTGAAAGAACTAATTTCAATGTACAGTTTTTGTAATAACAATGTAAATTGAATAATCATAAAAAGTGATTGGTTTATTGATAGATGGATATGTAATATGTTGAATATGAAATATATGTTTAGTTTTAAACGCTTTTATAGTTCAGTTCATCAGAAGAGATCAGAACCAGAGTCCAGCTGTGTGTCTATGAGGAGTGATGAGTCTATGAATTATCCAGTACATTTTAAGAGTGAAGATACACAACATTATCTCAGGTATTACATTTAAAAAAAATATGATTATAGTATGGCATTTTATATTATCAGCACATTATCTGTAATAAATTCTACAAGATATAAACAATGTACAAGAAGAATGTTTTAATGTAATAATTTATAGTGTTGCTCACACACAGACACATCTGTGAATGAACTCATTTCAGTGTACAATTTTTTTGTAATACAGTGTGATTGTTTCATGGATAGATGGATATGTAATATAATGAATATGGAAAATATGTTTAATTTTAAATTCATTTATAGTTCAGTTCATCAGAAGAGATCAGAACCAGAGTCCAGCTGTGTGTCTATGAGGAGTGGAGATACACAGACTGATCTCAGGTATTACATTTCAACAAAATATATGATTAAAAAAATATATTGTGTTTATTAATACTTTGGTATTTTAATTTTACAGCCATGAAGTCCTCAACAGGTTTAGATCAAATCTGATGAAGAAGTTTGAGTGTCTGTATGAGGGAACAGGAATGCAGAGAAACCCAACACTCCTGAATGAGATCTACACAGAGCTCTACATCACAGAGACTGAGAGTGGAGACATCAGTAATGAACATGAGGTGAGACAGATTGAGACACAATCCAGGAGAGCAGCAACAGAGGACACACCGATCAAATGCAATGACATCTTTAGACCTTTACCTGGACAAGACAAACCCATCAGAACTGTGCTGACAAAGGGAGTCGCTGGCATTGGAAAAACAGTCTCTGTGCAGAAGTTCATCCTGGACTGGGCTGAAGAGAAAGACAATCAGGACGTCCAGCTCATATTTCCACTTCCTTTCAGAGAGATCAATCTGATGAAGGACAAAACACTCAGTCTTTCAGAGCTTCTTCATGTCTTTTTCCCTGAAACTAAAGAAATATCCAGTGACAAATATAAAGTGTTGTTCATCTTTGATGGTCTGGACGAGTGTCGTCTGTCTCTGGATTTTCAGAGCGATGTGAGGTTGTGTGATGAGAGTGAATCAGCCTCACTGGACGTGTTGTTGACGAACCTCATTGTGGGGAATCTGCTTCCCTCGTCTCTCATCTGGATCACCTCCAGACCAGCAGCAGCCGATCTCGTCCCGTCTGAGTGTGTCCATCGAGTGACAGAGGTACGAGGCTTCAATGATCCACAGAAGGAGGAATACTTCAGGAAGAGAGTCAGTGATCAGAGTCTGGCCAATACAATCATCACACACCTGAAGTCCTCAAGGAGCCTCTACATCATGTGCCACATCCCAGTGTTCTGCTGGATCTCAGCCGCTGTTCTGGAGAAGATGATGAGCGAAGCAGAGAGACGAGAGATTCCCAAGACTCTCACTCAGATGTACACACACTTCCTGATCCTTCAGACCAACATCAAACATGAGAAGGACTATGAGAAGAAGGTGACGGATGAAGACCTGATCCTCAAACTGGGGAAACTGGCTTTTCAGCAGCTTGTGAAAGGCAATGTGATCTTCTATGAGGAAGACGTGAGAGAGTGTGGCATTGATGTGACAGAAGCATCAGTGTACTCAGGATTGTGCACTCAGATCTTCAGAGAGGAGTTTGGCTGGTATCAGGGGAAAGTCTTCTGCTTTGTTCATCTGAGTGTTCAGGAACATCTAGCGGCTCTATATGTGCATCTCTCCTGTACAATCAACAACAGAAATGTGTTTGACTCAATCACCAAACTGAGTTTGCAGTCTAAAGTCAATGACTGGTTTCCTCAGCTCATGTTTAAACATGTTTCATTATCTGCGCTGCATCAGAGAGCTGTGGAAGAGGCTCTACAGAGTAAAAATGGACATCTGGATCTTTTCCTGCGGTTTCTTCTGGGTCTGTCAGTAAAGTCTCTCCAGATTCTCCTACAAACACTAATAAAACAGACGAGAACATCTGACCGCAATCAGAAAACAGTTGAGTACATCAAGAAGAAGATCAGGACCATCGACTCTCCAGAGAAATCCATCAATCTGTTCCACTGTCTGAATGAACTGGGTGATCGTTCACTAGTGAAGGAAATACAACAGTATCTGAAATCTGGAGGAATAAAGGAAGCCAAACTCTCTTCATCTCAGTGGTCAGCTTTAGTCTTTGTGTTGATGACATCAGAGGAGAAGCTGGACAAGTTTGATATTAATGATTTTGTTGGAAGAGACAATAAAACTGAACAACTAAATGTTCTTCAGAAGCTGCTTCCTGTGATTAAAGAATCCAGATCAGTTCAGTAAGTATCAATCAGAACAATCAGTTCACTGTTAAAAGGATTTGATGAGTTTCTTAAACCGTGAATGTGTCAAATTCCTTCAGGCATTCAAACAAAGTCAGTGTATGAAAAAATAATTAATGTTTACTTGGTTTTGCAAATAAAGAAAGAATTTAGATATTTAAAATATTTACAATAAATTATGAAAGAAATTAAGAGCAAGTAAACAACTGGAGAAACGGCTCATTTATCAAGTATCTCAAATCTCCTAAAAACATTTGATGTCTGGTTTACAGCAGAGTCATACATTTATATTTGACTATTAGATGGACAATTAAACATTAACTTGATGTTTAGATTAAAGTTTACTAAAACTTCACATTTTAATTTTACTGTGAGATTGACAATTAAGAATCAAATCACTGAGTGTGAAATTAGTGACGGTTCTCTAGTAAAGTGCAGATTTAATGTGTAGCAACGACTCTTACAGAACAAGAATAGTAATGTACAATGAGACATTTAAGATTATTTACAAGTCATTACTTTTACAAATATTGGTAATGGAATTTCAAAAATATATTGATATGAATATTTTTCTATTTATCTATTAATCTGTTATTTTGACGTGCCGTTTTGCAGCGTGTAATTGTCCATCGGTCCTCTCAGCAGCAAGAAAAACTAAACTTTTATTCAATGGATTATGTATAACCTCTGACGAGCGCTTCCTTTACAATCATTATAAATCTGTCACTCATCTCAGTTCACAATCTCACAAAGATGCATAATAAACTATAAAGTATACGCTGTATAAAGAAAATAATATGCTAATATGCTGATAATCTGTCTTTTAGTTAATTAGAGGATTCGTGAGCATGAAGAACTCGGCACTGAACCTTGGATAAGAATTGGAATTTGTGGAAAACTGTTTGATAGTGTTTAAATTATACTATTTGATTTTCATCTCTACAGGTTGAGTTTTTGTGATCTCACAGATGAAGGTTTTGCTGCTCTGACTTCAGCTCTGAGATCAAACCCTGAACACCTGAGAGATCTGGATCTGTCTGGGAATAAAATGGGAGAATCAGTGAATCTGCTGTGTGATGTACTACAGAATCCTCACTGTAAACTGGAGAAACTGTGGTAAGATCATATTTGACTCTCACACATGAATCACAATGTAAAGTATATTTGAAGTGTTCAGCCTCTTTCTGCTGCTGTGAGTTCAGATTATTGAGTGTAAATGATTGAACACACGAGCTGATCCTCAATAACATGAAACTGCAGGACTGAGAGTCACACTGAAATACACACTTTCACACACAATCAACATTTCAGTCTCTTGACTTTAAACAGACTCGAGCTCAACACCGTCAGAACTGAGAAATGAAGAACATGCGGGATTCATTCTTACTGTTAATTATCTTCATCTTTCTGCAGTGACTCTTTCTAGAGGATTGTTTTTTATTTTGTAAAACACACACACACACACTAATTGACACTCCATGCATTTTACATAGTACAGATCTAATAAGTAACAGTAAAACTAACCTATGTAGTGAAACCTATGACTCTTTGAAATCAAAATCTTACTGAAAGCTAATTTTTTTGAGTTATCAACCTAAAATTTAAAACACAACTAATTCAGATTTTTGGCTTTCATTTTTTTTTTTTTTTTTTTGCAGTTTTAGAGTCGCCCAGGATTTGAAAATGTACATTTTATAAAAATAAAAAAAAATATGAATAATAATTTTTTTTATATTGTACATTTTCATGAACTTAAACTTCTATAACTTTTTTTTCTATTTCACTTTCTTTATTTGTTTCACTTCTATAAAAATCTCTTGCCAAATGTCTTTTTTAAAACAAGACCAATCTTATGTCAATATTCTAAAGCATTCTTGAATTACAACCATTCAAGTTCTAAATGTGCGTTTTCATGTATATTCAAAAAAAGGGGACTGGCACTTCAGGGGTTCAGACACTTGCCGCCGCCTACTGAAGGTTTTAGTTAAAGTAGTCTACCCTTTAATTAAAATGTTTTATTAAAATTCTAAATGATTTCATATTTAAAGAGTAACTAAACACTTAACCAACTTTTTTTAGTTAATGATCTGTAATAATGGATCTTTATTAATACCAGTCATTGATTTGTAAGAAAAAATTAAGTGGTCGAAGATCTCAAAAATGAAGTTTATTTACAGCTTAGCAGTGGCAAGGCACATGAAGCACCTTGGGTTCACCGGCGTCAGAATGAACCCCGAACTCATCCCAGCGTAAACATTTTATACAGTATTACATCTGTCTTCCCCCTCAGCATGTAAATGAAGCTTTCTCTTAAATGTAAATCAAGACAAACAGATTCGTTTTCTCTATCATCGTGGAGCTGAAACTCTGTCTTTAAATGTAAATTGAAGAGAACGATACAAATGGTGCCTCCATGTCTGTCTTTGTTATTCCAAACTCTGTCTTTAAATGTAAATCGAATCGAACGATTCAAGTGTTAGAGTGATACCGTCAAATGTTTAAAGGTGATAATATCTCTCCGAAACTCCCTAATCAAGATGGTTCTTGAATATCCACCATTGCTCCCACACTATAGGTGATAACCATGACTCTGTGATTTTGTTTAAGATTGTAAGGAATTGATTCTATGATAAATAAGCTCTTTCAAGTGAAGGAACATTTCAACATAATCTATGTTGGAGTGGAAGTTTGATCGGAGCAGACTGTAATTTCTTACAGATTCGAGTAACTTTTTTGACATTTGTCTATAAAGTGTTTTATTTCTACAATATATGGGGTAAAAACATCTTAGTGCTGCCCTCTTCAGGTTGAACGGTGGCTACTGCAGTTGAATTTTCCTATTGGATGTTCCGCACTTCGTGACATACACAGGTTTCAGCTCACCACGCGAGCTACGCCCTTGGCAGTATAAAAACCATCTTGTGTCGTCAAAATCACTGTAGCGAGTCAGGAGTTGGAATTGCGAGTATTGAAAACGGTCAGGATAGAGTGTTTTAGCATCTATTTTGTCCCCTCTATTTCTGCTTGGATCTGCCCACTTTTTCAGCATTTTCTAATATTGCCAGTGGGTGGAGTCAGGCTCTGACCAGGGGTTTAGTTACCCTTTAATTAGTGCTTAAAAAAATCTCATAGCTTTATTAATGCAATTGTAAATAGAATGTAAATATATTAAAGGTGCTGTATGCAACGTTTAGCGACCCCTAGCGATGATGTTTCAGAATGCAACAAGAGCGCTCGTGCTCGTGCTCAATCTCAAGACCGAGCAGCAATCATTCACTACCAGCCACACGGAGAGTTTCAACGCTACGCGAAATTATCACACATGCTGGAAACTAATGTAAACTCCCACTGCAGGTAAAATAATAGTCTACTTTTATCAGCTTGACGTTGAAGTAATGCTCTGTGCTCATACCATGATCATAATGTTACAATAAACTGCATTTAGCCGACATGTGATGTTATATAGCATAAGCCATTTCTCTAACTATTCGTGTATCTTTCACAATCAGCAATGTCAACATAGGTGAATGTATAATATGATAATGAAAACGGTTAGTGAACGAAACTGAACAGTTTCAGTGTATCAGTAAGATCGTATGAAGTAACAATACTGTACTGAACGTGTCTGGGAATGTGTATAAACAATATGGTAGTGGGATGACGACATTAGTCAGTACGTTAGATCTAGTAAATAAAATAAGTTACATACTAAATGTTATACTAATGTTATCCTGGAACATTATTTTGTATTCATGTCATGTTTCATGTAGTTTACCTTGTTATTTCACTTGAGTTTACTATGTTGATCCGCGTTTTCGTCCGGAGTCGATCAGATTCACGTTTTGCCTGACGAGCTTGAGCAGATAAAACTTTTTTTGTTTTTTATATTTATGTGGAGTTTGTGTTGGAGTCTGTGTTGTGCTGGAGGCAGGACGTTTTGGGGGCTTATCAGACTTCATGTCGTCAGCTGAAGTGCCGTTGGTCGCATGATAGACTGTAGGATAGAGAGGCTCGGGAGCGCGCATGGACGTCACTTCTGATGAATTTCGCAGGAAATCCGACCCGGAGACCTCGCATATAAATAAGAATATTGTAATTATATTGGTAATGGCAAAACCCGAAAAGTGGATCATTGCAATGTGTGATTACAACCCCCTCAAACACAGGCAATAAAAAAAGGATTCATTTTATAAAAATAGTTACATATAGAACCTTTAATGTCCGTTTTGATGCAGTTTCCGTGTCACCTCTTCACTGCAAAGATGGATTTTGATTTAATAATTTTATTTGACTTGTTTAATTTAAATGTTTGATTTTGACATAAAAGGTGATGCATTCCTACCTCTAATATGTTTACATCTAATAATTTTTTTTACATATATAGACGAAAAGGCCCCTGAAAATCAATTTATAGTGGCAGATATTGGCCCTTAATAAAAAATAATAATTGTGTCACTGCTGTGAACTGACCACTGCATAGAATATGAAAAATATAAATATCTTTGTGAGTCAGCTGTCAATAAAAGGCCTAAACCAGCCAATATTGCTCACTTCTCGTTGAGTGAACACTGGCGTGTCTTGCTGCCGCTGCTCACCGAGTGAACGCTTGTTTTGAATTCTACGATATGCTAAGTCTATGTCTGGCAATATTCGACTTAACCTGCTGCTGATTGCTGAACATTTGCTTTGATTTAGTTCTATTTTATAAAGTATATGTCTGACAACATTTACAACTTACTCTGCTAACTGCTTCCACATCAACTGTTTGCTACCGATCTACTGCCTGTTGTCGGAGCTTCCCATCCTGCACCATCATCGAAGCGGCAATATGTGGACGTTCAAAATGTTGCTTTGGATTATACTGCTTGTCACCATCGTAACAGCCATGCCACGGCTGTCTTACTCGGCAGCAGAACTTCGAATACGTTCGGCGGCCTCGTCCTGCCTCCTCAGTCAACGTGATATTCTTCGCCGACCAAAATACATCCACCGTGGATCCCGCAGGAACTTCTCATACAATAACTCTAATTCCATGAGCTCATTTTGGTCTACTGGTCATCGCAAACCACGCAGCATAGAGAGAAAGGTGGATCATAGTGTTTTAGCTCCTCTGTCAGCGGACCCCGCTGTTTCATTTAAAGGATTAAAATGTTCACTTTTTAATGTCCGATCTCTCTCCAACAAAGGACTTTTAATCGCGGACATTATTGTGGATTTAAAAGTCGACTTTTTGTGTCTTACTGAGACTTGGCAACAGCCTGAGGATTACTTCCACCTCAACCATACATTACCTCCTGAGTTTGTTTACACCTGCAAACCACGCCTCTCGGGAAGAGGTGGTGGTCTCGCTTTAATCTATCGCGAGAAACTCAAAGTCTCACCAGTCACTGACTGTTACAGAGCCGTCTTCGTTTGAAATCTTGACGGTTCAACTGAATGGTCGTACCCCAACTCTTATTGTGTCCATTTACCATCCTCCAAGACCTTCTGCAGTTTTTATTAGCGAACTTACTGCTATTTTATCTGATTTATGTGCATTGTGTCCTAATATCATTTTAATGGGTGACTTCAATATCCATTGTGATAAACAAACCGACACCTGCACTAAAGAATTTATTTCTGTTTTAGATAGTTTTGGCCTTACTCAGTATATTAATAATTTCCCAACTCACAATAAAGGCCATGTTTTAGATTTAGTTTGCTGTTTAGGAGTTACACCATACAACCTAAATTCCATGGAGTTTCCCATCTCTGACCATAAAATGATTTTCTTTATCATTTTGCCACTCCCTAAATTAAACCTGAAGCGCCCCATATCATTCCGTAATATTAAAAACCCAGATTAACCCAGATGATCTTAATAGATTAGTTAATACTTCGATTTGTCCTACTTCCCCCTCACTCTGTACTGCTAACCTGGCGGATCATTACAATGACTGTTTATCCCATTCACTAAATTCCTTAGCTCCCTTGAAAACTTGCTTAGTCTCATTTACCAGGTCTTCTCCATGGTACACCCCTGAACTCCGACATATGAAAACCATGGGTCGAAGATTGGAGAGACTGTCTAAGAAAACTGGTCCAACCATCCATCTACAAATGTATGCTGATCATCATCTTTCATACAAAAGTGCTTTGACTGCTGCTAAATCCTCTTTTTATTCTGATATTATCAATTCAAATGGAAACAACACTCGGATTTTATTTTACACAATTAATAATTTACTTAAACCTGTTGACGCTGCAAGTCATTGGACCTCCATAGCTCAATGTGATTCATTCTTGGATTTTCTCAGTACAAAATTACTGATATTCACCACCAGTTGAACTCTGTTACCTCTGCATATAACTGCCCATCTTGGACTTCCACACTGGACCCACCTTTATCCATCCTATCAACTTTTCAGCCTGCATCAGTTGAAGAAATTACTAGACTCATCATTAAGTCCAATAATTCTTCCTGTTCGCTTGACCCTATCCCTACCATCCTGGTCAAAACCTGTCTGCTCTCTATCTCACCTTCTATAACATCCATAATCAACTCTTCCCTGCTTACCTCCACTGTTCCTACCTCTCTCAAAACTGCTTCTGGCACCCCTATTCTCAAGAAACCTGTTTTGGATCCTAATGACCATAACAATTATCGACCCATTTCCAACCTTCCATTTATCACCAAACTTCTGGAATGGACCATAGCAACTCAACTTCAAGCTCACCTACACAACAATAATCTCTACGAACCTTTTCAGTCTGGTTTTCGCCACAACCATAGCACTGAAACAGCCCTGGTAAAAATCACAAATGATCTCTTACTTGCTGCTGACAATGGTCTTTTAACTATCTTAATTCTACTCGACCTCACTGCTGCATTTGATACCATCTCCCACAAAATTATGTTGGAACATCTGGCTGCCATTGGGATCACTAACAATGCACTAGACTGGTTCAGGTCATATCTACAAAATAGAAAACAGTTCATTCAGGGAAAAAATGTCACATCAAAAACTTCTACAGTCAAACATGGTGTTCCACAGGGCTCAGTGCTGGGACCACTGCTCTTTATCATCTACATACTACCTCTTGGCAACATTCTTCGTCACTTTGGGATCAATTTTCACAGACAAGGCTGATGATACTCAACTTTATCTCTCCACAAAACCGAACACCTCTCTTCCCCCCTCCACCCTCACCTCTTGTCTTCAAGCTATCAACAACTGGATGTCAATCAGCCTTCACAAACTTAATGGAAATAAAAGTGAGGTTCTCCTAATTGGTTCTAAGGCTACACTTTCTAAAAATCATCTGTTTAACATATCACTTGATGGCTCTCCGTTTCCAGTCAAAAGTCTTGGTGTCATCCTAGACAGCGCACTTTCCTTTGGCCCTCACATCAGTAATATTACTCGGACTGCTTACTTTCACCTTCGTAACATCTCAAGACTCTGACCCTCCCTCTCCCAGCACAATACACACATCCTTGTTCAGGCTCTGATCATATCCCGCATTGCAACGCTCTCCTCATGGGCACCACAAATAAACTTCTCCATCGCTTGCAATCCATTCAGAACTCTGCAGCTCGTATTATCACCAATACAAGATCAACTGACCACATCACACCGATTTTTATTCAGCTCCATTGGCTTCCTGTACCTTACCGGATCAATTACAAAGTTCTTCTGTTAACCTTCAAAGCTCTCCATGATCTGGCCCCCTCATACCTCTCTGATCTGCTTCTTCCATACAATCCTCCTCGAACACTTCGCTCCTCCACTGCTGGTATTTTATCTGTTCCAACATTCAGAATGAGCACCATGGGGGCTAGAGCCTTCAGCCGTTCTGCACCACGTCTGTGGAATTCTCTCCCATCTCACATCCGTCAAATAGACTCTCTTCCTCAATTCAAATCTCAACTTAAAACTCATCTGTTCAGACTAGCTTATTCTACTTAGATTTTCATTGGGACTTCATTTTATTTTTTGACTGTACCAACTTTTATTATTATTATTATTATTATTAACCCCTAATATACGGTATTAATTTAGATTTCTTCAGGTCGCAAAAAGCCTTAAATTTGACTTAAAGAGTGCTTCTACCCTATTAATATAGTGCAAATAAGAGATTATTTTTCCTGATTGAATGATACTTTAGATGTATGATCATGTTTTGTGACATTTTAGATCTCAATCTAATGATCCCTCAAACATATTAATTTGTGCTTTAAGTTTGAACTTTCTCTTTAATAATGGATTCACTGCTAAACTGATCTGATCTGAACTGAGAGAGTGAAGTGTGTGTCGTTGTTCTCTACAGGTTGAGTTATTGTGGCGTTACAGATGAAGGTTTTGCTGCTCTGACTTCAGCTCTAAGATCAAACCCTGAACACCTGAGAGATCTGGATCTGTCATGGAATAAAATCGGAGAATCAGTGAATCTGCTGTGTGATGTACTACAGAATCCTCACTGTAAACTGGAGAAACTGTGGTAAGATCATATTTGACTCTCACACATGAATCACAATGTAAAGTATATTTGAAGTGTTCAGCCTCTTTCTGCTGCTGTGAGTTCAGATTATTGAGTGTAAATGATTGAACACGTTTGGTGATGTGAGCTGCGTTACACAAGAGATTGAAATGGTCGGTACAAAGAAGTCTCTGTTTGTTTTGGTCTCGGCTCGTCTTGAAACACAAAGACATTGTGACGGTTGTCGTAGGAGAAGTCACACTGCAGGACTGAGAGTCAAATCTTCTGACACTGCAGAATCCCGTTGAGGTCAAATATGAACACAACGGTCATTAATCGGCTGCCGATGAACATATCAAATTGAGTTGCAATTATTTATGATGTGCAGTGTGTGTCAGTGACGTACGGCTCTGATCAGGAGTAAACACTGCTCCATCTGAAAGCACTGCGAGTTTGAGTCGCTTTTTTTTTAATTCTTTATTTATAGTCAGCAAGAAATAATTACAGAATAAAAGTGATGATGAAGACCTTTACATTTGCTGTTGTTTTTTTAGAACAGTACATATATATACTTTGAACAAATAGGGAGAGATAAACTTGTGCATTACAAAGTATACAAATTATATATTTAACCACTTTGTGGGAGCCATGATATAGGAGGATAGATAAGAAGACAGAACAATAAAGCATCGGATCATTAAATCAGCACCTCTACGAAGTCTGGTCTTAAGGGCTTTACAAATTTAACCAATTTAGCCCACCAACTAACAAATATACTTTTCGTAAGACGGATGTAAAAGGTAATTGATTCCATTACATATATCTCGTTAACAATGTCTATCCATTCTGAGACTGTGGGGGGTCCGGGAAGCCTTGTAATTTACGCCTTGTAAATGCTTTTTTGCAGGCAGATGTAAGAACAGCATATAAATACTTATCAGCAGTTCTGAGCAAGAACTCACAATTCCCCAAAAACAGAGAGGAAAACTGTAAAGGTACTTTATTGTTGAATATAGTAGTTAAGATCTTGTGAAACTCTGCCCAAAACGGTTAGATTTTTTGGCGTTCCCAAAAAACATGCCAGTGATCAGCCTCCCGAGCGCCACACAGCCTCCAGCATTTAGCACCACCTGGATCAAAATGTGCTTTTTGCTTTGGTGTTATAAAAAAACGAATAAGACATTTCCAGTTAAACTCACGCCATATATGTGATTTTGTACATTTCCATTGAAACTTGCATATTTTTAACCACTCATCTGTAGATATTGATACATTGCTTTCCTTTTCCCATCTTTCTTTTATGTAGACTGTGGAATGGATATTTTTCACCAAGAGACCTTTATAAAACTTTATAAAAGCAGTTTTATATGCATTCAATATTGTTTTTAATATAGGGTCATTAAGGTCTGTTTTAGGTTTAATATTATGTTCAAAGTGATTGCGTACTTGCAGGTATCGGAAAAAATCTGAATTTTAAAGATAGTACTCCTTTTTCAGATCCTCAAAATCCCTTAATTTTCCATTTTCTGTGAGTGAATAAAAAGTTGTTATACCTTTGAGAATCCATGATTTAAATCTGTTATCCATCAAATTTGGCCTGAACCCAGGGTCAAAAGCGCACCATTGAATTATCTGTATTTTATCATTTAACTGATACTCTCCTTTTACTTTGTTCCAAATTTTTAATTGAGTTTTGATCCACGGATTTTGCGTATCCTTTATAAGCCTATCTAGGTTCGTACAAGCCAATAATGCATGAATCGGGGGGTCCATCATGATTGAAAGTTCAATATCTTTCCACCTGGCATGAAAATTTGGGGAACATAGGTTAATGAAGGGTTTAATTTGGGCCGCGTAGTAATATCCTTTAAAATAAGGTAACCCCATTCCCCCCTCCTCCTTCAAGAGCTGCAATGTTTTAAATTTAACCCTAGGTTTCTTCCCTTGCCAAACAAACCGGGAAATGATTTGATCTATTTCTAAAAATTCTTTAAAAAAGATTTCTACAGGAAGTGCTTGGAATAAAAAAAGATATCGTGGAAGTATATTCATTTTCACACAATCAATTCTATGACTCAGACTAAGAAAGGAAACAGAGTTCCACCTTTTGATATCTTCTCTAATTTTTATCCGGAGGGGGCCATAGTTTATCTCTGCAAGCCGTGAAACATTACTTGGTAAATGTATACCTAAATATTTCAATGAACTATTATCCCAGCTTAGCTGGAATTTGTCCGTAAGACAAGTTGGAGGGGAGTAATTAAAATCCAACAATTGAGTCTTTTGTAAATTCAGTTTATAACCAGAATAACTACCAAATTTCTGTAAGAGGTTCATTAAATTCGGAAATGTATTAGAAGGGTCACTTAAATATATCAAGATATCGTCTGTGTATAAAGCTACCTTATGATCTTCCCCTTTTATATTAACTCCCCTGATACTTTCTGTCTGTCTCAGCCATTGTGCAAGGAGTTCAATATAGAGTAAAGGGGAAATGGGACACCCTTGTCGCGAACCCCGGTGTAATGTAATAGTGTTTGAAAGATTACCATTAATTTTTATTTGAGGTGAAGGTTTGTCATAAAGAGTCCGTATGACATTAGAAAAATTTGAGTGAAAGCCAAATCGTTTCGAGTCGCTTTTAATGTGTATTTGAAAAAGCAACACACATCAAACATCTTTCCAAACATGAGAAGCTTTTATGAACCTTTTGTCCAACAAAAGACAACATTTAATAAATCAATCAAAGCGTTTCAATCTTCTGTTTATTCAGATACAGATAGTGTGATGCCCATAGGGATTTCCTGGAATGATGCGTGTTATCGTTCTTCTGTGGCGGGGCATATTTGGTGTGTGTGTGTGTGTGTGAGCAGCGTTTACTACCGATCACAGAGCCGTACTTCACTTACAAACTGCATAAAATAATCTCAGTCTTTACCAGATCGCGTGCGGTTTCATTTCGATCAGTCGTGCAGCTCTAATATCAAACTAACCATCAAACTCTTCAGGTTCGGCCTCAGATCAGACGAAACTTTTAGGATTTGCTAAATTTGTCTCAGAATCACACAGTGTGCAGTCGGCTTAACAGTAAAACTAACCTATGTAGTGAAAAGTGTCATTTATTAAAGCAGATTTTACACAAGACTGAATTTTAATAAAGTGTTAATAAGAGATTATTTTTCCTGATTGAATGATACTTTAGATGTTGTATGATCATGTTTTGTGACATTTTAGATCTCAATCTAATGATCCCTCAAACATATTAATTTGTGCTTTAAGTTTGAACTTTCTCTTTAATAATGGATTCACTGCTAAACTGATCTGATCTGAACTGAGAGAGTGAAGTGTGTGTCGTTGTTCTCTACAGGTTGAGGGATTGTGGCGTCACAGATGAAGGTTTTGCTGCTCTGACTTCAGCTCTGAGATCAAACCCTGAACACCTGAGATATCTGAATCTGTCTGTGAATAAAATCGGAGAATCAGTGAATCTGCTGTGTGATGTACTACAGAATCCTCACTGTAAACTGGAGAAACTGTGGTAAGATCATATTTGACTCTCACACATGAATCACAATGTAAAGTATATTTGAAGTGTTCAGCCTCTTTCTGCTGCTGTGAGTTCAGATTATTGAGTGTAAATGATTGAACACACGAGCTGATCCTCAATAACATGAAACTGCAGGACTGAGAGTCACACTGAAATACACACTTTCACACACAATCAACATTTCAGTCTCTTGACTTTAAACAGACTCGAGCTCAACACCGTCAGAACTGAGAAATGAAGAACATGCTGGATTCATTCTTACTGTTAATTATGTTCATCTTTCTGCAGTGACTCTTTCTAGAGGATTGTTTTTAATTTGGTAAAATGAAAACACACACACACACTAATTGACACTACATGTATATTACATAGTACATGTCTAGTAAGTAACAGTAAAACTAACCTATGTAGTGAAAAGTGAATCTTTGAAATCAAAATCTTATGAAAGCTCTTTTTTTTAGATATAAACTAAAAAAAAACTTTTTTAAAACTTTTTTTGCAGTTTTAGAGTCGCTCAGGTTTTGAAAATATATATTTCATAAAAATATGAATAATATATTTTTTTATATTGTACATTTTCATGAACTCAAACTTTTTTTCTGTTTGACTTTCTTAATTTGTTTCACTTCTATAAAAATCTGCCAAATGTCTTCTTTAAATCAATCTTACATCAATATTCCAAAAGATTCTTGAATTACAACCATTTAAGTTCGAAATGTGCATTTTCATGTATATTAAAAAAGGGGGAGTGACACTTAAGCGGTTCAGACACTTGCCGCCGCCTACTGACAGTTTTAGTTACACATTTAAAGTAGTCTACCCTATAATTAAAATGTTTAAGTAAAATTATAAATGATTTCATATTTAATTGGTGCATAAAAAATCTCATAGCTTTATTAATGTAATTGTAAATGAAATGTAAAAATATTAATGCCAGTTTTGATGCAGTTTCTGTGTCTCCTCTGCACTGCAAAGATGGATTTTGATTTAATAATTTTATTTGACTGGTAACAGTTGGACTGTGTTATTATTTATTAATAGAATTGAATTTAAATGTTAGATTTTGACATAAAAGGTGATGCATACCCACCCTTTAATATGTTTAGAAACAAATGTACATATATAGGTGAAAAGGCCACTGGAAATCAATTTAAAGTGGCAAATATTGGCCCTTAATAATTAAATTATATTCTGTCACTGCTGTGAACTGATCACTGCATAGAATATGAAAAATATGAATATCTTTGAGAGTCAGCTGTCAACAAAAGGCCTAAACCAGCCATGGTACCAGTACAAAAACACAATCAGTAAAATATCATCTAATTATTATCAACAAAACTTTGAAAATATCAATATATATTTTTGTCAATATTGCACAACCCCTAATATACGGTATTAATTTAGATTTTTTCAGGTCTTAAAAAGCCTTAAATTTGACTTTAAAAAGTGTGCTGCTACCCTGTTAATATAGTGCAAATAAGAGATTATTTTTCCTGATTGAATGATACTTTAGATGTTGTATGATCATGTTTTGTGGCATTTTAGATCTCAATCTAATGATCCCTCAAACATATTAATTTGTGCTTTAAGTTTGAACTTTCTCTTTAATAATGGATTCACTGCTAAACTGATCTGATCTGAACTGAACTGAGAGAGTGAAGTGTGTGTCGTTGTTCTCTACAGGTTGTGGGATTGTGGCGTCACAGATGAAGGTTTTGCTGCTCTGACTTCAGCTCTGAGATCAAACCCTGAACACCTGAGATATCTGAATCTGTCATGGAATAAAATGGGAGAATCAGTGAATCTGCTGTGTGATGTACTACAGAATCCTCACTGTAAACTGGAGAAACTGTGGTAAGATCATATTTGACTCTCACACATGAATCACAATGTAAAGTATATTTGAAGTGTTCAGCCTCTTTCTGCTGCTGTGAGTTCAGATTATTGAGTGGAAATGATTGAACACACGAGCTGATCCTCAATAACATGAAACTGCAGGACTGAGAGTCACACTGAAATACACACTTTCACACACAATCAACATTTCAGTCTCTTGACTTTAAACAGACTCGAGCTCAACACCGTCAGAACTGAGAAATGAAGAACATGCTGGATTCATTCTTACTGTTAATTATCTTCATCTTTCTGCATTGACTCTTTCTAGAGGATTGTTTTTCATTTGGTAAAATGAAAACACACACACACTAATTCACACTACATGTATATTACATAGTACAGATCTACGTAGTAAGTAACAGTAAAACTAACCTATGTAGTGAAAAGTGTCATTTATTAAAGCAGATTTTGCACAAGACTGAATTTTAATTAAATAAGAGATTATTTTTCCTGATTGAATGATACTTTAGATGTTGTATGATCATGTTTTGTGACATTTTAGATCTCAATCTAATGATCCCTCAAACATATTAATTTGTGCTTTAAGTTTGAACTTTCTCTTTAATAATGGATTCACTGCTAAACTGATCTGATCTGAACTGAGAGAGTGAAGTGTGTGTCATTGTTCTCTACAGGTTGTGTAAGTGTGGCGTCACAGATGAAGGTTGTGTTGCACTGACTTCAGCTCTGAGATCAAACCCTGAACACCTGAGAGAACTGGATCTGTCTGGGAATAATATTGGACATTCAGGAAAGAAGTTGCTCTCTAAATTGAAGGATGATCCACATTATAAACTGGAGACATTATTCTACTGTGAGTATTTTTTTTCCCAAGTCTTTATATTGAGCCAATCTCAGTAACAGGTCTCATATGTGTGAAACTGGAGAATATAAGATAATAATTCAGCTCCACTTTATTCTCTGTAAACTGTTTTTAATAAGAGTTTAATTCTGTGATGTGAATATGATCTATGAATAGGCTCGGTCTATATGAATATTTTCATCTCTTACATGTTTACATGCACAACTTTTGTTTCAATTGGAATTAATTCATTCCGACTGATGAATCCAAACGTCGTGTTTACATGAACGATAAATAAAGTGATCGGGTTGATGTGTGTGTTTATATGTCACAAGCTTCAAATCAGAATTGAGTTTTTGACATGCACACACTGCACAAATATTTCCCACTGTTTGCACACACTCTTCTCCTACTTTGTTTGTTTTAAACAGCAGAATTAATATTAATATATTACGGGTCCGGTCCTAATTAGGAGTCGATGAGCACATGAACCGTTGTGCGGCGCTGCTTATATTTCTCTGTCAGTAAAAACACCCGTACCTGCAGCCGAAACAGCCTGTGGATGAGAGTCTGAGAGAAGGACTGAAGCCGTGAGATTGTGTTGATCATTCATGACACTTCATTCAACAACTACAACAGCTCGTACGCATCATACGGCATTACGTCATTGCACACACACACAACTTTCCAGTTTGGGTTTTCAATCTGATCGAGTGTTTACATGTCCTCTCGATCGCATTAGAAAAGGAATAAAACACCCAATCCGATCGACATTTCATTCAGATCGAGATCATTCGATTAAAGAGTTTACATGAAGACTTTTCAGTCCGAGCGTCAATCTGATTACTGACAGATTATTTGTTTGCATGTAAACGTGGTGTGTGTGTGTGTGTGTGTCTGTGTAAGTGATAAAGTGAGCATTGTTTATCATTTGCTCTTTTAATATTAATAGTATTAATGTTTTTCATTAATATCTGTCTGTAATATGAATATATTAATATCTCTGTCTGTAATATGAATATTAATATCTCTGTCTGTAATATGAATATATTAATATCTTTGTCAGTTTTCCTGAAATGATCTCCAGATGTGATGTGACTCAGTAATCTCTCGTACTCATATGTGTGTGTCTGTGTGTTTTATTGTAGGACTCTCAGTGTTTAGACGTCAGTTCAGTTTCCTCAGGATCAGCTGATGGTGAATAAAGAGACTGAAGACACAGAAACACACAGCGATCACACTGACGTGTGTGTGTGACTTCACACCAGTTTCTTGTTTTATAGTAATGGCTCATGAAAATGAGTGCTGAAAATAGCAGCTTTGAATTGTTTCAACTTTATTAGATATTGATTACAATGTAGAAGGAGAAACACTCAAAATACGTGTCAAACGGTTAAAGTGAAAACAAGCCTTAGACAATAGATTTATTGTGCGATACAGACAGCGCTGGGAAAAGTGTTATAAGTTTGATCAAGAGTCTACAGAAGAGATGTTGTAAATTATACCAGCAGAGGAAGACAAAGATTATGCAAATCATTTCACTGAACATTTATTTCTGTCAAATGTTTTTTTTTTATATTAAAGGGTTAGTTCACCCAAAAATAAAAATTCTGTCAGTATTTAACTCATCATTGCCTCTTTCAGTGTACTTGGTTCTGCATCACAACAAAAACTAGCATAATGTTCAACAGTCACCAGATCATCAAACTCGTCATAACCAAATCTCTTAGGTGGCTTTCTGATTCTGCCACCTACTCTAGTAGTTTCATCGACAGTTGCATCAACTGATGTTCTCTCGTCAGTTTTCATGACCACTTCGTTCTCTGAACAAGAAATGTCCACTTCCTGTTTCAAGTCAAAATCTGACTCGTTGAAGATCACATCCCGACGAATCACAATCCTCCTTTTTTCTTCATCATACAAACGATAGCCCTTGGCATTGTTGGCATATCCCACGAAACGAAGCGTCACAGTCTTCTTGTCCAGTTTTCTTCTTTCTGTGTCTGGGACATGTGCATAAGCTACACAACCAAACACTTTCATGTGACTCACATTTGGCTGTTTGTCGCACCATCTCCGATACGGCGTCACTTGTTTCAGAACAGATGTGGGGAGTCTGTTCTGTGTGTAAGCTGCAGTCGCTACAGCCTCTGCCCAGTACGACTTTGTTAATTTAGCATGAGAGAGCATGGTTCTTGCTGCTTCAATTAATGTCCTGTTCTTTCTTTCTGCAACACCATTTTGCTGTGGTGTGTGAGGTACAGTTGTCTCATGATGGATACCTTGAACCTTCAAGTATTCTTGAAATTCTTTTGAAGTGTATTCCCCACCATTATCCGTTCTCAGTCTTGCAATTTTCTGCCCGCACTCATTGGATAATGTTTTCTCAAATTCCTTGAATTTGGAAAGAACTTCACTCTTTTGTTTCATGAAGTATACTTTGCAACATCTAGAATAATCATCAATAAAAGTCACAAAGTACTTTGATCCACCTATGGACTCAGTCTGCATTGGACCACAGACGTCCCTATGCACTAACTGTAGTTTACGTTTTGAACGAATTTCTCCTACTGGCTTATGTGGCTTCCTTGACAGCTTGCCTTCCACACATGCTTCACAGAAAAGAACTTCTTTCTCTTCAGGAAAGTCTACTCCATTTACCAGTTTTTTTCAGTTCCTTCAACTTAGTGGTGTGTCCCAGACGCTGATGCCACAAGCTGGTTGCTGCTAGTGCACTTGACGCACAATGGACACTTCCCTCTACATCCAGCTGATACAATCCATCAGATCTTTGTGTTCCCATTCCTCTGAGATTTCCATTTTTGTTACGAATGTAACAGCGAGACTTCTTGAACTGCACAGTATTCCTTTTTTTACTGCAGCTCCCACTGAGAAGAGATTCCCGGATAACTTGGGAACATACAGCACATCAAACATTGTGACATTTTGTACATCACTCATTTTTAATGTCATTCTCAGTTTAACATTACCAACTCCTAGAGCGTCAACCACTCTTCCATCACCAAGTTTCACAGACTGTGCTTTAGGAAATTGCTGGTAGTCTTGAAGAATTTCTTTATGACACGTCATGTGCTTTGAAGCTCCAGAATCAACCTGTTGTGTTGTCTTATCCTGATTTTCTCTAGCAATAAAGGCATTCTCAGATGATTCTTCATCATGGTCACATGTTACATTTTTTGCTTTGTGAATTTTAGTCTGTTTTTTCTTATTTGGACAGTCACGTTTGATATGTTATTACGTCCCGCGTCTAGGGGAATATAAGTCACCAACGAGGCGTAATAAATTATTGGGTTGTGGAAATGGAATCCCAGAACGCATCACTCCGGTCGAGAATCAAAACCTCAAACACAAACCTTAAAGTGTTAGTTCACCCAAAAATGAAAATTCTGTCAGTATTTACTCACCCTCATGTTGTTCCAACCCCGTAAGACCTTCGTTCATCTTCGGAAAACGAATTAAGATATTTAAGATATTAAAATCGCTCCTGCATACAGTCCATAGGCTTCTTGAGGGACTGGCTCTTGCCGTCCTCGAAAAGTCATAAAAGACATCGTTAAAATAGTCCAAGTGACTACAGGGGCTCAATCTTAAGTTTATCAAACGACGAGAACACTTTTGTGCGCAAAAAAACAACAAAAATAACGACTTTATTTCAACTATTCATTTATTTCTCCCTCTGCGCGAGTCAGCTAACTAGTTTAATAGCGTAAGCTTCTGTTATTGTACGTCACACGCATCACACACACATGACCAGCGTCGACCAATAGTGAGCCTACGTGTGACGTAGCTCTACGCAATCACACTACGTTAACGGACTATAGGCTTATGGAGAAGGAAGTGAATAGTTGAAATAAAGTCGTTATTTTTGTTGTTTTTTTGCGCACAAAAGTGTTCTCGTCGTTTGATAAACTTAAGATTGAGCCCCTGTAGTCACTTGGACTATTTTAACGATGTATTTAATGACTTTTCGAGGACAGCAAGAGCCAGTCCCTCAAGAAGCCTATGGACTGTATGCAGGAGCGATTTTAATATCCTAAATATCTTAATTTGTGTTCCGAAGATGAACGAAGGTCTTACGGGGTTGGAACAACATGAGGGTGAGTAAATACTGACAGAATTTTCATTTTTGGGTGAA